TCAACTCTACTGAACTAGACTTGTCAGCAGACCAGAAGGCTAATCTTATCAACCAACTACAACATCATGAGGCATTTTGATAATCGTCTAAAAACAATATCGATGGAAACTAAATTGCAGATGGCAATTTCGGATGTGAGTTCACGTAATGTTGTGCATATTTACTATGCAAATTATATAAATTGACATCTTTCTACAGCTCAAGTATGTTGTCAATAAATCCGAAGAAGAGACAAATCACCCTGTTCTTATTGGAAAAAGACGGCACCAGATTCTAAAAAACGAATTGAAGAAGGAGGACACATTGGATCCACTCAAAAACAAAATCGACGTCAAACGAGATATGGGATAAACATCCCGGACTATTCCGAACAAGAATCTGATCATGAGCCTGAAAAAGTACGCGATATGCCATTTGATTCTTAGTGTTTTCATACTAGATCGTGTATCAACTTTGGAACTTTGTATTTAGAGAATACGCATAACACAGTCTGAATTACGACGATATCGATAAAGTAAGATTTGAGATATAAGAAATTTTAGGCAATATACGTTGAATCTTATAAATACTTGAATCTAATTATCATATTAACCGTTTGATTTCTCTTACAGGAAAATTATGATGAGGAAACTGAATTGGTTTTCAAACCTTCTGATATATCGACAATTAAGGGAAATATAGCAATAATACTGAGTATAGTGATAATAATGATAATCCTATTAATATAAGTTCTAATTAATAAATATTAATATTTAAATAATAATATTTAGATACTAATAAATTTAATTAACAGCATAGTGAAACAGAATTTATCTGTGGAGCTTCGTCTAGTAACAAGCATAATAATCTTGTTATCCAGGTAAAATTTAATTATTATATTTGCAATAAAATTTTTTATATTAAATATATTAAATCTAAAGTTAATTTATATGATTAGTGTGATGAAGCAGAAGTTAATCTTAAAACATCGAGAAATAATCAACATGATAGCTTTGATAACCTTAAAGAAAAAATACAAAAGACAAACATAAAGCATTTTAACCTCAAAAAAAAATTACAAAGAGCAAATATAAAGCATTAAAATCTGATAATAAATAAAACCGAACTATAAAACGAAATGTATGTAAATATTAATTTTTGTAAATATGTTTAATTTAATAAATTATTAATCAAATTAATTTATTTTTTCTATAGTATATATCTAAAAATAATGAATCTTTGAATTTTAAAAGCATAAATAAAAGTAAGCCAGATTAGTTAGTGCTGTATACTATGTTTATAAGATACTAAATTTAATTTATATATTAGATATTACAGTTTATTTCTCCTAAAGTAAATAATTTAGATGGTATATATAGTATTATTTATTTTTTTTAATAATTGCCATATTACAAATTTTAATTGTTTATTGTGTTTTTTAAAATTAGGCAATACTTCAAGTTTATTATTAGAATTTTTAAATAACAAATCAATAGAAAATGTAAGAAGCTTGAACTATTAGTATAATTGATTTTTATATTTAGATTATTTAGATATATATAATTGATTTTTACACAATTTTATTATATAATTTAGGATTCAGCTACAAATATATTAGAAAATTCACATAATTTAAATGAAAATCAAGCAGAAAAGTAAAAAGCATAAATTATTAATATTTTCTTATATTAAGATTAACTATATATATATATATTAATTCTTATATAATTTTATATATATTTTTTAGAATTTGACCAAAATATTGAATAGAGAGTTATTTGAAAATGTAAGAAATTTAAACTATTAACAATATTAATTTTTATATTCTGATTAACTATATATATATTAGATAAAATTAATTATTACAATTTTTATATTTTTATGTAGAATTCAATAGCAAATACTTTAAAAACATTATATAATTCAAATAATATTGCAAATATTGCAAATTCTGTTATTGAATTCATTGAATTAGAGTTAGTTGGTAAGTTTTATTGTAAATTGATTCAATTTTATTAAAAATTTTACTTATATTAAATAATTTTTTAGATATAGATAGTATTATAAATGATAAATTTAAGGCTTAGTGTCTAAAAGAAGCTTTTATAAATACTACTCAAAAAGAGTTGATTTATATAATAATCAACTTTTTTAACAACTCAGTTAAAAATTTTTTTACAACAAACTTCAATCATTTATTATTTAATAATAATAATGAAGTTAGTTATAAACTACAACAAGAATTACCAACATATTCATTTCAAGATATTGAATCAATTTATAAATATTTTGAATATTGGTTTTCTTTATATAATAAACTTAGATCAGCAAGATATTTAATTAAAGAATCCAGGTTGCATATACTGTATAATTTATGAAGATTTTTATATTGTTATAAAACAGTTTTATTTTATTAGTTTATTTTATTTTAGTATTATATTATTATTTCAATATTTGTATTTTATTAGTTATTAGTTATTATTATATTTATCTTAGAAAAGAATTTAAAAGACATATATAATGATAAGCCTTAACATTTAATACTTAGTGATTAATAATTAGCGATTATATTTAGTGATTACGTTTAGCAATTAGTGATTATGCTTAGTAATTAGCAATTAGCTATTATGCTTAGTGATTAATAATTACACTTAGAAATTAGCAATTAGCAATTAGCAATTAACAATTAGCAATTAACAATTAGCAATTAATGTTTAACACTTAACGATTAGCAATTACAATTAGCACTTAGCACTAAGTAAACTATGCTTAGCTGCAATAATTAGCAATTAGCTCTAAAGATATAAAAAGGTTGTAAATTTCTTTAAATTAACATTAGATCTGTCACTGTCCATCTTAGATTTGTTGATATTTGTTACTGTCTAACTTAGATCCAAACTTCCGCTTCTCTAAATTCTCTTTTGTAATATTATAGGATTCTTTAGGAATAAAAACCTAAAGATAGCCTATCTTATTTATCTTTAATAAACATATATTTTATCTATAAACTATTGTCTGCCCAAACTGCCACAGACAGAAAGGTATAGTTTCTTAAAGAAGTAGAAATTATACTTACCTGTTGAACACTGCTATAAATTTGTAAAGAATTTCTGTATCCATGTCATTATTATAATACTGCTGTTAAAAAGACCACAGTACTGTAACAATATCACTTGTAGTAATATATGTAACTAAATATAAAAAAGATAATTAAGTATTTTTAACCTATAGAACTTTATGTGGTCTTATTAGTAATAAAGTGCAGAAAATTTTGAAGTTATTAAAAGGCAGAAACAATGCTATTGAGTAGGAATATAGTGGTTAATTGAATTGCTTTATATAACTCAATGCTCTGCTATAATTCTTATTAAATCTGAATTTATCACAAATTATTTTATATCTAAAACTAATAAAGAGTATGATAAATTTCTTCAAAGTCTTTTAAATAATGAGAATATTTTTCATAAAACTTTTAAATTTGATGTATCTATAATACAAAATTATAGAGCTAGCTATAATTATATGATAACAGACATTGATATCTATAAGATTATGTGATAAAAACATAATTTTGATTTTCTTGAAGCTTGTAACTTCATATATTATATATTAGTAAATCTTTAATTTGCTATTGTAATAAATTTTTAAACAATTACTTAATTAATGAAAGTATTCTTTAATTGGTTATTAGTGAAATTAAAAAAATATCAGTATTAACTTATATACAAAATTAATAAAAATAAAATTACAATAGTATATATCTATAAATTTAAACTATTTATTTTGATTTTTTTTTTTTTTTTTGGTATTAAGGTGAGGCCTTGCTCATATCTTTATTAGTAACTTTAAAAATAGTAACTACA